TGCTTGCCGTAAGTGGCGACTATGCTTGTCGTAAAAAGGCGACTAACGGGATCGGGTGGTCAGGTTCACTGACTTGGTTGATGCATATCATCGATCCCAATTGCGTGGATCGATGCCCATGATATAAATCACTGGATTGACTGGTCCAGACTCGATTATTTACAGACCTCCGTCATATAGCTGGAATATTGCTGGAGTGCGGCGTTAAACAACAAACCAACAACAACATCTGAAACGTGGCAAGGTAGAAGAGGGAGGATACGTACTCCAGAATGCCCATATCAAGGAAAGACTTAGGGAAGAGTACAAATGTAAGGTGAAAAAAATCTGGAGTTCAGAGCTGAACGCTCGCAATAAAATTAAAGTCACAAATATTTATGCTGTACCCGTCCTTTCATATTCTTTTGGTGTTGTTGATTAGACGAAACAAGAAATTTAGGGAATTGACACCCTCACACGAACAATCATGTCAGACAATAGATCCCTCCATCCACGCTCTTCCCTCAATCACTTATATTTACCAATCATAATGGGAGGGGGTGGTTTGATTAACGTTGGGGCTCTTCATGATAGAATTGTGTGTGCACTTTTGCACACATTGTGAAGCATGTCAAGACTCATGATGAAAACAAGGTATTCCACAGTTTTCGTAAACGAGCCAAGGATGTGGGACATAATCTCTATGTCAGTGTTGATTGTTGATGGTTCTGTACTGCTGGACGGTAGTGAAATGAGTGTAAACCAAGCGAAGTATCATATCAAATCGGCCGGGACTCAGGTTTTCAAGGAGAGGCAATCTGAACGACCACTACAGCGAGTTATGTGCAGTGTGTTGAGAAGATCAGTAACCCTGCAGAGTCCTTCGCTTCGGTTAAGTCGGCTGGCCTGAAAAGTGAAACAGACGGCTTTCTGTTTGCTGCTCAGGACCAGTCACTTCCCACTCGAAACCGTCAATGTGTGATTTTGCATCAAAATGTAAATATGAAATGTAGATTATGCAATGCATTTAATGAGACTGTCCAACACATTGTAAGTGGATGCCCAGCTTTGGCACAAACACAGAATCTTAAGCTACATGATGGAGTGGCTCGATCATTTTATTACCGTCTTCGCAATTCATGTGGTTTTGACACAGAGGTACATCCTTGGTTCGTCCAAGAATATGTAGAGGGCGTCATTGAAAATGATAAATACAAAATTCTTTGGAATAGGCCCGTATACATCATCAGACGTATCCAGGCCAACAAAAGTGATCTTGTCCTTTTTGATAAATCCAATGAAATCATTTATATTATTAACTTTTCTGTCCCTTTTGACACTCATGTAATTGACAAGATTCAGGAAAAACATGGCAAATATGCAGACCTCGCCTTCGAAATGTCACGCTTGCATCCCAAGTACCAAGTTGTTCGACTCCCCATTGTTCTCAGGGCCTTAGGTTTGGTACTTCCCAATCTGTTGACTGACATTTGTGGAATACCCGGGTTTGCTACCAGGAATGCAGCCCTTCTGACAATCTGGGTAATGTAGAGGGCTGCAGTGTTGGGAAGTCTTCACATTCTCCGGAAAGTTCTGGGCGGGTTTGACTAATCAGCGCTTCCTGGGAGAAGTCCCATTCGCTGTCTTGGGACAAGGGCCCTGAGCTGATTAGTAGTAGTAGTAGTAGTAGTAGTAGTAGTAGTAGTAGTAGTAGTAGTAGTAGTCAGAAGAAGAATGGGTATTAAAAATGCGCTAGACTTCATACACTATACTCAAAGCATTACAAGAATTATCAGGATAGAGAAGCCTTGTTGGTAGCACAGTATTTTAACGCGTCTGTCAATGAAGGGAAAAACGAGAACATATGCAGTTTAGCAGCAAATATGTTTATTTTACACGAAAAGAACATGCAATTTAAGTTTAAATCAAATAGAAGCGGCAATTTCATGGCAGCTTATGCCCCTATTAAGATGACACCAGGTGTTTAAGAAACATATATTCATTGCTAATTATATATAATGCGTTACTGAAAGCACCAATCATAAGCGGCGGTTAATGTTGCCATACAGTTGCCCCAAGGAAAACATCTACGACCGCCATGGTCTAGGTGAGGTGAGGTGAAATTGGGTTTAACGTGGCGTCCAAGATTATTGCACTTATATATCGACGTGCATGCACGTGTGTGTGTGGCTGCTTGCACTAGTCGGGACTGTTGCCGATTTATAGTGCTAGCTCACTGAGATACCATGCCGCAGTTTACCCCACTCAGACACAGTATACTGACTCCGAGCCGACCAGTCCTTGTTTTAGCCCCTTAATGCCGAGCGCCAGACAGGGTAACAACAAGTACCATCTTTAAACGTCTTTTGGTATGACGCGGCCGGGGATCGAACCCCGGAACTGCCGCTCTCCGGGCGGACGCTCTACCACTGGACCACGCCATGGTCTAGGAATATGGGCCCTTTGAGACGCCTGTAGCTGTGTTAGCAGATGCATCATTAGGCTGTCCAGCACGGCGAGACACGCACAGCACACTTCGAAACTGATCACAGCTAGGTACTGTGCACCAGCCCCTTATAATGAACTGAGTAATGCTACCATCACACCACAGTAGTTCTATCCCGTTCTACCGCGTTCTAAAAAAATACTAGAACGGGCTGTGATCACGGTAGAACGCGTAGTTTGTGGTAAAATACGATGCTAGTTTGTTCATAAGCAGTCCTCAATACGTCTATATCGTTCTTTTCTCGTTCTTGGCCAGTCTGCAGTCCGTTTGTATCCAGTTCAGATCGTGTAAAAGTGCCCGTTCACCTCATCCCGACAACGTTTCGAAGCAGTTCGAGCACGTCCGTAGCCGTTCTCAACCCGTTCTTAACCAGTCCAACCTCGTTCTATCTCGTTCACAAAACGTCCATACCAGTTCTAACTAATTCTTAACCCGATCAACTCGTTCGCAGTACGTCCTCATGTCGTCCCAAGTGCGTGTGTATTCGCGTCCTGGTCCGACTCCTATGGATACCGAGCGCGTTGTAGCCAGTCTTCAGTCAAGTTCAGGGCTCCGAGCTATACCCATCATGCCTCCAAAGGGAAGTCGACCCGGTCGGTGTGCACACTGAAATTTATGCCCGACTGCAACGCGTCGTAACACGTCCCTAGTAGGTTCGAAGTACGGCAATTCCGTTCGTAATACGTCTTTCTCATTTTGAGTACGTTGTCAATCCGACTAATTGCAGAACGGGATGGACGGGATAAAATTTTGAGCAGAATAAAAGTTCTAGAGCACCCTCCCCGTCCGAGCCCGTCAATGAATTCGTAAAAAGACTGTCAATAGTTGCTACTACGTCCACTACGTTCATACACAGTTGGAGCCGTTCGACAACATTTTCACGAACGTATTGAGAACTAGTTTGGTGTGATGGGGGTATAAGTCATGACTGGCGTACGTGTGACATGACAATGCTGCAAGGCGGTTGTTGAAGATAAGATCCATGTGGTCTGTGAGTGAGTTGGATTTAACTGTATTCCAGTTATATCGCGGCGTGTCAGCTTTATGTGGGAGGTAAGCCCGAAGCGATGCAGGTCTCAGACGTTTACCACTTCGGTGAAACCCACGAGCACGGGTATGGTGCTGACAAACCTACAAACATAATCGGGGCGAACTGGCATTCGAACCCACAATCATAGGTTTCTGGCGTGCCAAAGGACGCAACTCGGAACAGCGAAACGCGGCGCCTTAGACGACTGGGCCACCCGTGCCCCCGGTCAGTGAGTGAGTGAGTGAGTTTGGTCTTGCGCCGCTTTGATCAGTACTTCAGATATTACATGGCGTCAGCTCATGATGACGGGGGGGGGGGGGGTCGGGTCGGGACGTCTAGTCGTTAAAGCGTTCGCTCGTCACGCCGAAGACCCGGGTTCGATTCCCGACATGGGTACAATGTGTGAAGCCAATTTCTGGTGTCCCCCGCCGTGATATTGCTGGAATATTGCTAAAAGCGGCGTAAAACCATACTCACTCACCCACTCACTCACTCATGATGTCGGGAAAGCGCGACTTTTACCACTTTGGTGAAATTTGAGCACGGGTATGGTGCTGACACCAAGAATCATCGTCAGAGCCAATCTGAGTTTCGAAAACACGAAAATAGGATCCATGCTTAAAGCAGGCAACACTGAACAGCGAAGGACGATCCATCATCGAGAAAGTAGCGTTAATCAAAAATGTCTTTACTCATGAGTTTTGTGAACACTGAACACAATCATTGGTGGCCTTCTTGCTTTCCTTTTTGTCATTTGTCAAAGGTGCTCATGTTTATTATTGTTTGTTTGTTTGTTGTTTAACGCCACACTCAGCAATATTCCGGCTATATGACTGCGGTCTGTAAATAATCGAGTCTGGACCAGACAATCCAGTGATTGATATCATGAGCATCGATCCACGCAATTGGGATCGATGACATGCATCAACCAAGTCAGCGAGCCAGACCACCCGATCCCGTTAGTCGCCTTTTACGACAAGCATAGTCGCCTTTTACGGCAAGAATGGTTTGCTGAAGACCTATTCTACCCCGGAATCTTCACGGGTCGTTTATTATGATATTGGACGCAAAAATTGTTTTCAATACTTGAAATGTATTTGACTAATATCGCTTCCTATTGTGCTATAAAAGGTGTTCATTAAATTGCAAATGGTATTGCTTCAGATTGTCATACTTAAGACAATCATGATATTGTAATATTCATGATGATGCCGTTTGTGATATTAATGAACTGTTCCCGGCATTCCTTATATTGTGTATGATGTTTTGGATTACATAAGTAATGTTCATGACAGTCATCATGTATGATGATCTTTCTTTAGACCCGACGCCACAGAGCCGGTCATGTAGTAAATTACATATTCATTCAAAAAAAGCATTATTTCCGATTATCTAACAGCCTGCAATAGTGTAAGATGTCGTACTCTCCACCGAATCATGGTATAAATATCTCGACAGCACTGACCTTACTTGTATGTGTTTCAGATGACTTGGAAATCGACCGACTCAGTGTGTGGTTATGTCTGGCTCTCGCTTCTTGTAGGTAAGTACCGCTTAGACATTGTGTAGGTAAGTACCGCTTAGACATTGTGTAGGTAAGTACCGCTTAGACATTGTGTAGGTAAGTACCGCTTAGACATTGTGTAGGTAAGTACCGCTTAGACATTGTGTAGGTAAGTACCGCTTAGACATTGTGTAGGTAAGTACAGCTTAGACATTGTGTAGGTAAGTACCGCTTAGACATTGTGTAGGTAAGTACCACTTAGACATTGTGTAGGTAAGTACCGCTTAGACATTGTGTAGGTAAGTACCGCTTAGACATTGTGTAGGTAAGTACCGCTTAGACATTGTGTAGGTAAGTACCGCTTAGACATTGTGTAGATAAGTACCACTTAGTGTAGGTAAGTACAGCTTAGACATTGTGTAGGTAAGTACCGCTTAGACATTGTGTAGGTAAGTACCGCTTAGACATTGTGTAGGTAAGTACCGCTTAGACATTGTGTAGGTAAGTACCGCTTAGTGTAGGTAAGTACCGCTTAGACATTGTGTAGGTAAGTACCGCTTAGACATTGTGTAGGTAAGTACCGCTTAGACATTGTGTAGGTAAGTACCGCTTAGACGTTGTGTAGGTAAGTACCGCTTAGACGTTGTGTAGGTAAGTACCGCTTAGACGTTGTGTAGGTAAGTACCGCTTAGACATTGTGTAGGTAAGTACCGCTTAGACATTGTGTAGGTAAGTACAGCTTAGACATTGTGTAGGTAAGTACCGCTTAGACATTGTGTAGGTAAGTACCGCTTAGACATTGTGTAGGTAAGTACCGCTTAGACATTGTGTAGGTAAGTACCGCTTAGACGTTGTGTAGATAAGTACCGCTTAGACGTTGTGTAGGTAAGTACCGCTTAGACATTGTGTAGGTAAGTACCGCTTAGACATTGTGTAGGTAAGTACAGCTTAGACATTGTGTAGGTAAGTACCGCTTAGACATTGTGTAGGTAAGTACCGCTTAGACATTGTGTAGGTAAGTACAGCTTAGACATTGTGTAGGTAAGTACCGCTTAGACATTGTGTAGGTAAGTACCGATTAGACATTGTGTAGGTAAGTACCGCTTAGACATTGTGTAGGTAAGTACAGCTTAGACGTTGTGTAGGTAAGTACCGCTTAGACATTGTGTAGGTAAGTACCGCTTAGACATTGTGTAGGTAAGTACCGCTTAGACGTTGTGTAGGTAAGTACCGCTTAGACATTGTGTAGGTAAGTACCGCTTAGACATTGTGTAGGTAAGTACCGCTTAGACATTGTGTAGGTAAGTACCGCTTAGACATTGTGTAGGTAAGTACCGCTTAGACATTGTGTAGGTAAGTACCGCTTAGACATTGTGTAGGTAAGTACCGCTTAGACGTTGTGTAGGTAAGTACCGCTTAGACATTGTGTAGGTAAGTACCGCTTAGACATTGTGTAGGTAAGTACCGCTTAGACGTTGTGTAGGTAAGTACAGCTTAGACATTGTGTAGGTAAGTACCGCTTAGACATTGTGTAGGTAAGTACCGCTTAGACATTGTGTAGGTAAGTACCGCTTAGACATTGTGTAGGTAAGTACCGCTTAGACATTGTGTAGGTAAGTACCGCTTAGACATTGTGTAGGTAAGTACCGCTTAGACGTTGTGTAGGTAAGTACCGATTAGACATTGTGTAGGTAAGTACCCATTAGACGTTGTGTAGATAAGTACCGCTTAGACATTGTGTAGGTAAGTACCGCTTAGACATTGTGTAGGTAAGTACCGCTAAGACATTGTGTAGGTAAGTACCGCTTAGACATTGTGTAGGTAAGTACTGCTTAGACATTGTGTAGGTAAGTACCACTTAGACATTGTGTAGGTACGTACCGCTTAGACATTGTGTAGGTAAGTATCTCTTAGACATTGTGTAGGTAAGTACCGCTTAGACATTGTGTAGGTAAGTACCGCTTAGACGTTGTGTAGGTAAGTACCGCTTAGACATTGTGTAGGTAAGTACCGCTTAGACGTTGTGTAGGTAAGTACCGCTTAGACATTGTGTAGGTAAGTACCGCTTAGACATTGTGTAGGTAAGTACAGCTTAGACATTGTGTAGGTAAGTACCGCTTAGACATTGTGTAGGTAAGTACAGCTTAGACATTGTGTAGGTAAGTACAGCTTAGACATTGTGTAGGTAAGTACCGCTTAGACATTGTGTAGGTAAGTACCGCTTAGACATTGTGTAGGTAAGTACCGCTTAGACATTGTGTAGGTAAGTACCACTTAGACATTGTGTAGGTAAGTACCTCTTAGACATTGTGTAGGTAAGTACCACTTAGACATTGTGTAGGTAAGTACCGCTTAGACATTGTGTAGGTAAGTACCGCTTAGACATTGTGTAGGTAAGTACCGCTTAGACATTGTGTAGGTAAGTACCGCTTAGACATTGTGTAGGTAAGTACAGCTTAGACATTGTGTAGGTAAGTACCGCTTAGACATTGTGTAGGTAAGTACCGCTTAGACATTGTGTAGGTAAGTACCGCTCAGACATTGTGTAGGTACGTACCGCTTAGACATTGTGTAGGTACGTACCTCTTTGATATTGTGTAGGTAAGTACCTCTTTGACATTGTGTAGGTAAGTACCTCTTTGACATTGTGTAGGTAAGTATCTCTTAGACATTGTGTAGGTACGTACCGCTTAGACATTGTGTAGGTACGTACCGCTTTGACATTGTGTAGGTAAGTACCTCTTAGCCATTGTGTAGGTAAGTACCGCTTTGACATTGTGTAGGTACGTACCTCTTAGACATTGTGTAGGTAAGTACCTCTTTGACATTGTGTACGTAAGTACCTCTTTGACATTGTGTAGGTAAGTACAGCTTAGACATTGTGTAGGTACGTACCTCTTAGACATTGTGTAGGTACGTACCGCTTTGACATTGTGTAGGTAAGTACCTCTAAGAAATTGTGTAGGTAGGTACCGCTTTGACATTGTGTAGGTAAGTACCTCTTAGACATTGTGTAGGTAAGTACCGCTTAGACATTGTGTAGGTACGTACCTCTTAGACATTGTGTAGGTACGTACCTCTTAGAAATTGTGTAGGTAGGTACCGCTTTGACATTGTGTAGGTAAGTACCTCTTAGCCATTGTGTAGGTAAGTACCGCTTTGACATTGTGTAGGTACGTACCTCTTAGACATTGTGTAGGTACGTACCTCTTAGACATTGTGTAGGTACGTACCTCTTAGACATTGTGTAGGTACGTACCTCTTTGACATTGTGTAGGTACGTACCTCTTTGACATTGTGTAGGTAAGTACCTCTTTGACATTGTGTAGGTAAGTACCGCTTAGACATTGTGTAGGTAAGTACCGCTTTGACATTGTGTAGGTAAGTACCGCTTTGACATTGTGTAGGTAAGTACCGCTTTGACATTGTGTAGGTACGTACCTCTTAGACATTGTGTAGGTAAGTACCTCTTAGACATTGTGTAGGTAAGTACCGCTTTGACATTGTGTAGGTAAGTACCGCTTAGACATTGTGTAGGTAAGTACCTCTTAGCCATTGTGTAGGTAAGTACCGCTTTGACATTGTGTAGGTACGTACCTCTTAGACATTGTGTAGGTACGTACCTCTTAGACATTGTGTAGGTACGTACCTCTTAGACATTGTGTAGGTACGTACCTCTTAGACATTGTGTAGGTACGTACCTCTTAGACATTGTGTAGGTACGTACCTCTTTGACATTGTGTAGGTACGTACCTCTTTGACATTGTGTAGGTAAGTACCTCTTAGACATTGTGTAGGTAAGTACGCCTAGTATGTTCCGTGACTACGTCCTCTATACTTGTGGCTAAGCCTCCTATGTGCGTGACTACGCACTACATGAACGTGACTATGCGCAGTGTTTTTCTCCGACTTTAATTATGTAACACTCAGTTATTAAGAAATCAACCGAGTATTACTCATCAGGTACTATACACGGGGGTACTTTATATTGCTGTATGTGCAGCAACAAGTGAATATCAACACTTTACGCAAGTGGAATCTTCACTGAATAGTTTGGATGGACGGATATTTATTCCCTCCCCCCTATAAACCCAGATGTATCTCTTCCGCTACCCTCTTCGCGTCAACCACTAGGATAAGAGTTTGGGTGACCTTCAATGGATCAGAATTGACAGACCTCGAAAGTTAATCGTATCGTATAATAGCCAATTTAATCCACTCCATCACCTTATCTGTCACATGTCTGTTTGTTAGTATTATTCTAACCATCGATAAGGCGAGTGTGCATCAGCAAAACTATTCTTTCTTTAGCGATCGAAAGTACCCATACTGTTCTGCTGGTAATCGTGAAGCGAGGAAGTTTATTATAACTAAGCATCCGTGAAATATGGTTGTACAATATTGAAAAGTTAATCGTTCAAGCATATTCCGTCTTGATCTATTTCCCTATCTTTAGATTATCAAGCCATTCATCACAAAGGCATGTTGCTTGTTAATTGCGCTGCAGTTGGTCTGTTTCACTGTGGATTATGCGTTTCCTCATGTGATTAATAAAGTAAAAGATAAATCGAATTATTCGCAATTCAGAGACATTCCTTGGGAATTGACACACACACAGTAGGCGGTACCCTCTACCGGTATGTCTGTGTAAACTACCTAGCTTAAGTGGGTGAGTGAGTTTGGTTTTACGCCGCTTTTAGCAATATTCCAGCAATATCACGGCGAGGGACACCAGAAATTGGCTTCACACATTGTACCCATGTCGGGAATCGAACCCGGGTCTTCGGCGTGACGAGCGAACGCTTTAACCACTAGGCTACCCGACCGCCCCACCTGGCATAAGTATACACCCATGTTTGATGGTGGCTAAAATGACACAAACAAGAAACGGTTATTCGATGGTGATGTGTTTGATACAGGTGTCAAATCTATGTATTGGGCCTTTCGTTCAAGGTGTTTCTGTTTTCAGCCTAGTAACGTTTTGATAACGTTTGCAAATTTTGGTCAAATCCAATTTCCAAGTGTATTCTTTCTTTTGC